GCAATTGGGGAGGATTTGTTTTGGTAGCTTGCTCTGCTACATGCTCTCCGTGCTTAATTAAGCAGATAATGGCAAATTTATCTGAGATAGAATTTGTAAGTGAGAAGGACTGAGTAAAAAGGTAAAGGGGCACAAAAATGCTCTGAATTATGATGCATCCGCACAGAATTATCTTACTTATATGTTAAGCTGTGTGAAGAAATCATTTCTAAATGTTACATTTTCATTACCCCAAACACATCACAGATGCTATAAAGCATCTCTGGCTCGTACCCTTGCATCAGCAACAAAACTGAGATGGTCAGGAATGTAATTGGCTACAGATGTGCTAGAGGAAGTACACATTTAAGCGCCTGTAAGAATTGAATAATAACATCTGCCTTCATTAAACTCGCTAAATTCTCAATGAATTTACTCATGTGAACAGCAGACGATCAATGTTAGACCTCAGGTTGTCAGTCAGTCTGTTCCTCTCTGCAGTATTCCACTCAGCCAGCCACATGACAGTGTGCCCATATCGTTAAGGCTAGAAGCCACGAGCGGGAGGCCCACAAACAGCTTTCCCAGCCTTCATAGGCATCTGACGCTACTGGAGTTTGAGGCCGGTCCTACTGGAGAACAGCTGTCTGCGATGACCCAGAGAGACTGGAAATTGAGCTTTAAGAAAGGCAAAAAAAGCATTTTTTTGCTGGCACGATCTCCAGGAAACAGAGAAGTTGGAAGATTGTTCCAAAAACACCATCTGGTCTCCACTTTGAACTAACCGATCAAAAGCTGTCGGCCAACTATAACACCACCCTCCCCAATTCATCCTGTTGTTTTCACAGAAGCTCCGATCAGTCCTACGATTCCCCTTTTCCTCTTTTCATCCGTTCCTCCCCCTTTCTCTCTCTCTGTTTCTCTCTCCCTTGCTACTACTCTCTTGACAAATGTTGGGAATTAACAGTCTTGCATATTGATGTGCTGTCGCATCATGCCTCAAATGCCCTCGCTCAGCAACTCATGCATTTATACATCATAGCAGCAAATGGACTTTATTAAGTAGATGTCTGTCATATCTAAAAGGTCAGTGGTTAGACAAGCTACAGTCCCTTATCCACACCCAGGGCACTGCTGATAGACTTTTGACGGCTGTTGCTCCCATGGCTGTCTTTGCTTCCGGCTTGGGGGATATGGAGCTATCCAGGAAGTTACTGGTGTAACTTATAGATGTAAAATCCTCATCACATTACCACTTGCTGGGAGAAAGTGGGGGGATTTTTTAAGGGAGGGTCAGTTCAATCATTTGAAAAGAACATTAATTTGTAGCCGGGGAGACAGTAATGAGCATTTGTGTCCTCAGAAGTCTCTTGGCGGCCAGAAAGAGGTTGGCATAGTTAAAAAGGACAGTTCAGGAATATTTTTAGTGAAAATGGTTTCTGAATTAGCTTCTACATTACTGTGTCTATCAGCATAGACACATCCGTCAGATCTCTCTTGCTTTCTTTTTATGTATGCCTCTCTCTGTACTCTTGCACATTCTTGCTGAATTTTATTACCATCTCCACTACTGCCACGTCTGTCATTTTACCCCTGAGGTCCCCTCTGCCCACAGTTTAGTCCACGCAATTAACAGCTTGCAACGTTAAGAAAAAAAATGTACTGGGCAGCTAACACTATTGCTCGAGGCATGGATGGCTTTCCTGTTTTATTAGGACGTACACCCATGTGCACTTTCATATGCACACAAAACCCCTTGAATGTCTGCCTTCGCTCACAAACACGTAGATGCACACAGTTCGCCGCTCGGTGCCTGGTTGACTGTGGCCGTCGGTCGTTCCATCCGCAGTATTGTTGTTTTCTCTATTGGCCCAGGGAGAGCTGGCACAGGTGGAGCTCGTGGATTTGAAGAGCTCATGGTAGAGTAGTTGGTGGGGGATTGGAGGTGGGGTGGGGGTGGGAGGGGGGGAGGACTGTCCTGGAGGGAAATGAGTCTGCTGATGGGGAATATGGTGTGCGAGTAGGAAGGAATATGACACCTGGACCACCCCCCTCTCTGGGTTTTTGTGGCAGCTGAGCCAGCCTAGAGCATCTGCACAGCCACAGGGTAAAAAGCAGTTTTCCTGCACTTCATACCCACACACACACACACACACACACACACACAGTCGTACAGAATCACACTTCATAACTATACACAAAGTTGTTTGGCTTCATTTCAGTGGCGTTTGGGTGTTTCTTTAATTCTATGTGGAATCTCTTTGCCGACCACACTGCTCTTCATCCACATCCAAACACAGTTCCTGCTTGGTGCTTTAGCTTTTTTTTTCTGAACATAGAGCAGCTATACCTTTGAAACAGATGGCTACACCAGCAACAAACTCAGATCCAGCGCTTTCCCCTGGTGGCTGCTGCCTTACCAGTATTCCACTAGTATCCCAGAAAAAAGTGCTTCCACGTAACACCATGTCTTAGATTACATTTGGTTTTACTAACTTACAGTCAAGGGATAAAAATAGTTGTAATTCAAAACACTTTGTTCACCTGATTTGCCAGTAATAATACTAATACACGTGAACAACTACTGGTTATTTATATATTAAATGAAAATTTTCTCTGACGTTGTTCAACACTGAACAAAATGTACCCAGCATAATTACAGAAACCCTGGTGAATGAATCTCCGTCTGTGAAACGGTGAGGTAAATAGCTGCTTGTTTCACACGGGACGGGTTTGATATGGAAATGAACGCACATCTTCAAAAAGAATCCCACCTTTGTCAATTAGGACAAATTAAGTTGTTTATTAATTTTGCATAATGTGAATATTTTTAATTGTAACACCCGTTTTAATTGTACCTTATAAAATTATTTTAATTGCAGCGTATTGCACTGTGGACTATTCACTGTGTGCAAATTGCCGTTAGCCGAAACTCATTATCAAGTCAAGTTTTCCTTTGATTTGCTCCTTAGAAATAATATTTGAGAATAAAAATAGCATGTTATCCTCCACACCTGTGAAGCACACTACAGCGTTACTTAACAACAGCGCCCAGTCTTCTATGAATATTAGGCGTCTTTGGGCACAACACCAACCCCAGCATTAACCCTGCTAATTCTGCACAATGAGAATATGTCATTTGTGTTTTTAACACACTGTTCTGCAAGTCTTGGCAGCGAGATAATTAAAAATCATTCTATTTGACACACATCAAAGTCTATTTACATTTTTCCCTAAAAATATTGGGTTAGGGTAAAGTTGGGGTTAGTGTTAGCACTTGTGATGAACTACACCTCACAGGGTTACAATATGGCTTGAAAAACTTAGGAGAACAAACTATGCTAACTTGTCACAACTGCTCTAACTACAACTGTAATCTATTTTAAGACCACCAGATTTAATTGACTTTTACCTGTAGTTTTTATTTTGGAGCATTTTACTTATGGTTAGCATTGTCAACACCCTAACCATAAGTACAGTCTGATTTAAGTTATGGTTAGCGGTGGGGTAGTGAGAGAAGGGTAGGGTTAGGGTAGCAGTTTGCTCATTGACCAAGAGTTTTACAGCGAACATAACCCCGACAAACAGGCTCTGGTGTCCTAGGTTATGTCGCAACATATTTGCTACGAGGTCATTTTTTTCAGTCAGTGGTATTTTGCCCTCATATTTGTAGTCACTCCACTCGCTCGCCTGGAATTAGAGGAAACTTCCAGTGACCTGCGATTATTTCACCCAGAGATTGTCGTTCATTTTCCATTGGTTTGGGGTTCCCACATTGATGAGAATCACTTCCTGTTTGTATGCAGCTTAAGTAGCTAGCAGCTGTGGCTAATAATAAAATATTAACGTTGACATGGGAGCTAAGCAGCATGCAGCGCTGGCCCTGACTGTCTGAATGTTAATAATCTAAAATTCAAAATCTAAAATCTAAAAAAGGTTCAGTTTCTGGTAAAGTCCCAGAGTGACGCAGAGAGAAGCCTACCAGCAACTAGACAGAAACAGTGGCAGCCAACCTTACAAGCCACATCTGTTTAACAACAAAAATATGTCACCAAGCATAGAACTACCTCAAACTGCTGTATTTCTTTTTATACAACAGTATAGGTAATACTCACACATACATGTATATGTTTTACTATGTTTATTTCATTTTATAAATGTTTTACAGTATATCATACCGCTTGAAAATACTGTTGTCACCGATGTTATTGTACTTTATTTTTAAGTATTTAAGTATTTTTGTCTTCTTTTTTT